CCCCCCCCCCCCAGCTGCCTCTCCCTAAGCCACCCCTGCTTGGGAGGTGTGAGGGGCCCTGCTTGGCCAGCCGTCCTGTCCTGTCCACCCTAAATGCCCGCACTGCCTCCCGCATGTGACCTGTGTTCTCCCCTCTCTGACCTCTCCTTCCAGAAACTAAGTGTTGTGGATCAAGAAAAAGTTGACAAATTTATGATCGAGCTGGATGGGACTGAAAATAAGTGTGAGTCAAGCTCCAGGGGGAGGGAAGGGATGTGGGGGGATGGGAGAGACCCCAGAACTGAGGTTCGGTTAGGTGATCTCTGTGTCCCACATTTCGGGGCACATCGTGGCTGGATGGATCTTTATTCACCGCACAGGCATTTCCTGACGCCTGCCCTCTGCCGGGCCTGGCGGGCCGTGGACACGGCTGTGAGGCTGACACATTGCCCTGGGGTGGGGGCTCCCAGAGCACCTTGGGCGGCTGGGGAGAGATCTGTTAACGAGCTCTTGATGCCCAGTGGTGTGGGGTTCCAGATTCTTCCTGGGGTGACGCCAGACGCTGGGGGAGAAGCTCTCACTGTCTCTTCGTGCGTGCCTCTTCTAGCCAAGTTTGGGGCCAATGCCATCCTGGGCATATCGCTGGCTGTGTGCAAGGCCGGCGCGGCCGAGAAGGGGGTCCCGCTCTACCGGCACATCGCAGACCTCGCCGGGAACCCGGACTTGGTCCTCCCCGTTCCTGTGAGTGCAGCTGCCCTCGCCGGATGCTACAGTGGCCGAGCCGCCCCGCCCAGGGAGGGGGGCACCAGCTGCCCCTGGAAAGGCTACCTTCCAGACCCAGCGCCAAAGAAACGGTTTCCTGCGGTGGAACGACTCCAGCCGCGGCCCAGCCCCTCCCACTTTCCCACAATCCAAGCCTCCCCTTAAGCCTCTGCTGCCTTCCCTTGGCACAACCCTGTGCCTTCGCATTCCAGTGCCAGACTCAGTGAGAGCTCCAGCGTCTAGTCCCAGCCCGGGCCCCCGGAGCAGATCAAGTGCTTCTTCGTGGCGAGGATCTCGGCATTTCTTTCTGTCTCCCCTGATCCTTATTAAACCCAATTTCCTGTTGCTGGAAACCCTTTGAATTTTATCTCGCTAATAACGTTGCCACTTATCGTTAATTAACGGGGCAGCTCTGGAGACGAGCTGCTAGGTTCCTGCCTGTTCACCAGCTGTGTGGTCTCAGGCAAGAGTGTGTCACCGCTCTCTGCCTCGGTCTCCCCATCTGTGAAATGGGGATGATCACAGTGCCTAGTTGATAGGGCTGCTGTGAGCATGAACTGAGCTCACAGAACACGGGGAGCACCGGCTGTGGTAACCACCACGTCAGCGTCACTACTTGGCCCGAAGCGGCCGCAGGCTGAGAACGCTGCGTTCCGCTTCTGTAATTTTCAGTGCGAGGTCCCGCAGGTAAGCAGGTGTTATCCCTGTCTTACCACAACAAGGAAAGAGACCTTGAGGAGCGAAAGTACTCCCCCCTAGAGCACTCAGCGGGTGATCAGGAGAGCCAGGATTCCACCTGGACCCTCCCCATTCCTTCTAGATCCCTCCCAGCCCCTGGCCCGGGGCTGAGCTCCCCCTCCCCCTTACAGGCCTTCAATGTGATCAACGGGGGCTCCCACGCCGGGAACAAGCTGGCCATGCAGGAGTTCATGATCCTGCCCGTGGGAGCCAGCTCCTTCAAGGAGGCCATGCGCATTGGCGCCGAGGTCTACCACCACCTCAAGGGGGTCATCAAGGCCAAGTACGGGAAGGATGCCACCAACGTGGGCGACGAGGGCGGCTTCGCACCCAACATCCTGGAGAATAACGAAGGTCAGTGTGAGCTCTGAGGGGCAGGACCCTGCGTCCCCACAGTGGAGGGGGCCGCAGAGACGGGGCGCCCTGGAGCCTCAGGCGCCCTCTTGCCCCTCCCCCAGCCCTGGAGCTGCTGAAGACGGCCATCCAGGCAGCTGGCTACCCAGACAAGGTGGTGATAGGCATGGACGTGGCGGCGTCGGAGTTCTACCGCAACGGGAAGTACGATCTCGACTTCAAGTCTCCCGATGACCCCGCGCGGCACATCACGGGGGAGAAGCTGGGGGAGCTGTACAAGAATTTCATCAAGAACTACCCTGGTGAGACCCCCACGCGTCCTGTGGCTCCTGCCCAAGCCCCTGGCTGTCCTGAGCCGTGTCGAAATCCCCATCCCAACTCTTCTGACCTTCACCCCGGTTCTTCTCCCATCCCCTTCCAGTGGTCTCCATTGAGGACCCCTTTGACCAGGATGACTGGGCCACCTGGACCTCATTCCTCTCGGGGGTTAACATCCAGATCGTGGGGGATGACCTCACGGTCACCAACCCCAAGAGGATCGCCCAGGCTGTTGAGAAGAAGGCCTGCAACTGCCTGCTGCTGAAGGTCAACCAGATTGGCTCCGTGACCGAGTCCATCCAGGCGTGAGTGCCTCCCGGCCCCGGGGGGCCGCGGCCTCCCTCCGCCCCAGCTCTGCTTGGCCAGCCACGTCCGCCTTCCCTGGTTCCCGCCCCGTCCCCACCCTCCTGACCCCAGAGCGTTGCCCAGGTGACCCCGCCGTGTCCTGCCCCCACTGCTCCCTCCTAGATCCTGCCTTCCTTCCCACCAGCACGTCCAGGGCCCAGACTCAGAGTCTAGAGTCGCCCCTTCTCTGCTCCTTCCCCAAGAACTTAGTCATTCCCCTCCCTGCGAAGGGCCTCCTCCCCCAAATGGAAGGGAGAAGCCCCACCGGCCCTTGGTTTTCCCTCTGGGGCCCCGGTCAGTTGGCCTTATCGAGCATGCTCTCTGCCCAGCTGCAAACTGGCCCAGTCCAACGGCTGGGGGGTGATGGTGAGCCACCGCTCCGGGGAGACCGAGGACACGTTCATCGCTGACCTCGTGGTGGGGCTCTGCACGGGACAGGTACTCACGACTCCCAAACGTCTGACCCAAGTTTCCTGGGGGCCCTGGGTTCCCATCCCTGGGTTGGACCGCCACCATGGGAAGCTCCCTCCGGGCCAGGCCGGATCTGGCTTCTCTAGCCTCACACAGTCCTCCAAATTCCCTTTTCTTCCTCAGATCAAGACCGGTGCCCCCTGCCGCTCAGAGCGCCTGGCCAAGTACAACCAGCTCATGAGGTATGGGGGAGCAGTGGGCGCAGGGGGACTGGACGAGGGGAGCCGAGGGCCGTTGGGTAGGAAGGCACAGCCCTGACTTCACCTGCTTTCTAGGATCGAGGAGGCCCTTGGGAACAAGGCCGTCTTTGCCGGACGCAAGTTCCGTAACCCGAAGGCCAAGTGAGAAGCTGGAGGCTCTGAGACCCCACAAGACACCATGGGACAGACCTAGGCCCGCAAGCCCCTCCCTGGGAAATAAACGCTGGTGCCAACATAGACACGGTGTGGTCCTTGTGGCGAGGGAGCAGGTGCGGGTCTCTGAGCGGACAGGCGGGGCGGAAGGGAAGGAAAGACGCATCACCGGCAGGGACCAGAGGGCAGGAGAGGGGGGTGGGGTCACACTTTGGAAGGAGGCTGGGGGATGGGGCGCCCTGTACGCAGCCAGAGGGGCACTGAAGGCACGTGGAACCAGCTCAGGGACGGGAGGGGGGGGTGGGGCCAAGGGTGTGACCCACCCGAGGGGCAGCTGCGTGGGAGTGAGAGAGTAAAAACTCTCCAGGGAGCGTGCCCCACAGATCGTACCTCTTCGGGACCCCCTCCCCCATCCCCCCCTGCCCTGAGAGCACCAGTATCTGGCCATCCTTGGTCTACACAAACACCAGTCCCACTTAACCTAAAATTCCCTTCCTCCCCAGGACCCCCCTTTCCCTGTTCAGACAAACCAAGACATTGGGTCAAACAGTGTTTACTGAGTGTAAAGTAATCCCAGCCCCGTGGGGAAGAAAATTCCGAGGAGAAAGGAGAATAATACACGTTAAATACCCACCTGTGCATTCACACGCGCACACTCACGCGCAAGCGCACACACACCACTCGAGGGTCCGAGCTCGGACAGTGACAAGTCACATACCCGCCTCCCCGGCCCGGTGCCCGCGGACGGGAGGCGGTGCGGAGGTGGGGCTCCAGGATGGGTCCTAATAGCAGCAGCCTGTCCCCCTGTCCCCGGCCCGCCCCGGTTGCTGGGGCGCCTAGGACGTCGGTGGCAGCTCTTCCCCGCTCTGCCGCAGCCGCTTCTTGGCCCGGATCTCGTTCATGGCCTCTTCGATGGAGCGCGTGTCCCTCTTGTTGGCCACGGGCACTGGGGGGCGAGGAGGGTGGGAGCCCCGTTATCACAGCCTCTCCCCTGCCTGCTGTCCGGCGCTCCCCCCCTCCCTTCTGCCCTCCCCAGCCCCGCCGGGCCTCACCACAGCCATAGGTCTTGTTGGCCTGTAGCATGTGGGCCGCGTCCTTGGCCGCCCCCTTGCCGATGAGGTGGCTGTACTTGTCTTTGTAGTCGCTGGCGGGGCTCACCACCACGGGGCCCTGCTGGGCTGCCTCCTCCTCCTGCCGCTGGGCCAGCTCCTGGGGGTGCAGACGGAGGCCCGCGCTCAGGGGCCCTGACTCGGGGTGCTGGGCCGCAGGCTCCAGGGCCTGCCCCTCGCGGCTCACCTTCAGCTTGCGCTTCTCCTCAGCTTTCTGGGGGTCCCACTCCTCGCCGCGACGGTAGGACTCCAGCTCTTCATCTGAGGGCGCGAACTCCTGGGGACAGGGGAATGCCGGGGTCAAGGGTCCACAGGCACCCCAGGCCTCTCCCCCGGAGGGGGGGGCGGACACAGGCCGAAGACGAGACAGGGGAGCGCGGAGCTCGGGCCTTTCACCTTCTTGAAGATCATGACGTAGCGACACTCATCATCTTCCCCGAAGGAGAAGGACGTCAGGCCAGCCACCTCCACCACATCGTGTCTGGGAAGGGAGGGCGGAGGGGAGAGTGTGCGGCACCGTGGTGGTGGGGGGGGCGGGGGAGGGGCGGCACCCCCTTCTCACGGGTCCCCGCTGGCCCTTCCCCGCCCAGCCGCCCAGGCCGGGGACACTCACAGGATGCTCCTCTCGATCTTGTTCATCGGCTGAAACTTTTTCTTGATCTGCCGGCTGTCTTGGATGAAATCGGACACCTCTTTCTCCATCTTGGGAGAAGGAGAAGGACGGCATGGGAGGGCCGCTCCGCCCCAGCATCCCTCACCCTAGCCGGGCCATCGGGCCATCGCCTCCCCACTCCTTTCCCAGCTTCCACGCCGCTGGCTTCCAGGCTCCTCCCCGGAGACATCTGGGGAAACCTGAGTCCTCCACCTTCCGAGTCTAACTTATCCGAGGTCCTCCCTGAAGCTGCCTGTGACACCTCCAACTGTCCTCACCCTTTTACGAAACTCCACCTTCTGTTGTTTTTCTTGTTCCTGTAGCTTCTTCAGGCGGGCAGCCTGCTCTGGGGGCAGAAAGGGCAGTGTGAGGCCAGGGGCGGAGGCACGGGCGGGGAGAGTCCGTCAGGCTGCCAAGGGGACCCGGGCCCGCTGGGAGAGCGGGAGGACTGCTGCCAAGCGTCGGTTCGTACGTTCTCCGTACGTGGCGCTGTGCTAGGTCCCGTGGCACAGACACGGACCGAGCTTTGCCCTGCAAGAGCCCGCCGTGCAGCGGGAACAGCAAGGTCCCGTTTCCCAACCCCGCTGGGGAATCCGGTTAACATTTATTTCATGCCCACGACACGTGAGGAACCGGGAGACAGCTGGGGAGGTCAGGAGAGCGGATTCGGGCCTGGCCTTCAAGGGCTTCCTGTCACAGCGTCTACGCAAGAAAGGGGAAATTATTTAACTTCCTATATTTTGTGACACCCCCACTTCTCATTTCTACGGACAGGATGACGCTGGAGGGACAGGCCCCCTCCTCCTCTGGGAGCGCAGGCATCCAAGTCCAAGGTGAGCTGCGAAGGAGCTCCCCCAGCTCAGGTCTCAGCGCCCCCGCCCCTTTCTGGCCACCTCAAATCCCTCACACCCTTGATTCCACTTCCTTGGACCGAATCCCGGCAGCTGTCCCGAGCCGCCTCCCACTTGCCTGGCCACCCCAGGCCTTTGCACCTGTGGCTCCTTCTGCTTCGAGTGCTTCTCCTCCTCTTGCACACCGAGACCCACCATGAGTCACAGTTGCCGCTTCCTCTGGGCCCAGAGCACATTTGGTTCAGACAGCCACTAGAACAGGTGCTGAGAACCCACATAATGTAACTTTGTATTTGTCTCTCGGGCCAGACTCTGGGCTGCTGGGGGGCAGGCGCCCTGCTCACCTCCCATCCCGTTAGTCTCTGTGGCCCCAGGGCCTGATAGCTCAGGCTAGGCGTTCTTTCTCTCATCCCAGGGGCTTTGCCATCAGTGCATCTTATCTTGACCACTGACAGCTCTCTAACGGGTCCCTCTGCATCCGAGGAAGTGGCGTAAGATTAAGGCTAAGAATGTTGGCCAAGGGGTGCCTGAGGGGTCAGTCGGTTAGGTGCCCGACTTCAGCTCAGGTCATGATCTCAAGGTTCGTGGGTTCGAGCCTTGAGTTGGGTTCTGTGCTGACAGCTCAGAGCCTGGAGCCTACTTCAGATTCTGTCTCCCTCTCTCTCTGCCCCTCTGCCGCTCATGCTCTC